TTTATACATCAAGTAAAAGTTTTTGAACAAATATAATATATTCTTTAAAAGGTAATATTTTTTTGGTAAAAAATAAAGAATTCTTATTTTCTTTTTTCAAAGAACGCATATTTTTTTAAAAATATTAGCGAGATAAGTTGTTTTATACAAGTTTTATTAATATTGATATATTAATGAATAATTTAGAATTTTTTTAATTCATTTAATATATTTATTAAATAACATATAAAATATCTAAATATTAAAATTAAAAGTACATTGTTTAATAGGAATTAGTAGATACTATAATAAAATAATTTTGAAAGTACAATGTTGTAATAAGAAAGTCACATCACTATAGTACATGTGGACAGCCTACATGGACAATGAGGTGACATGGAAACCTGATATAATGGGTAAATTTAAATTAAAAGGTTACCTAATGCTATAATGTGTAATTTTTTCAAAGTATAATGTTCTAATAAAAAATAGTTTGAAAGTACATTGATGTAATAAGAAAAACTGAAAGTACAATGTCATAATAAAGAAATTTATGAGAGTATATTGTTATTTTGTGCATTTTGCCTTTTTTTTATATATATATATTTATGGGTTTGCTTAACCAAAAATATTTTGACTTAAATTTCCAATTTCGTTTTTCTGAAAAAACAAATACCATCCGATGAATTCTAACATTTGTAAACATAATTGAATTCGTTTTAGATTGGATCACTCGTGCTTTTTCTGTGCTAAATATCACATCACAGTTGGCTATACTGTCACCCTTATATGCTTTCCATCGCTTATGTTCACTTATCAACTGCAAATGAAATGAAACACCATTTCAATGTCAACTTTATCATCAAAGCTTCAAAGAAAACCAGAAGACTCGAGAATCACCTCGTTTCGAAGCATGGCGATGGGTCTGCCATCATTATGGAGGAGTAACCGTTGATGATGGAAGATTGTGTTGCACGGTATTACTTTAAGCATGATTTTATGGTTAATATCAGTGATCACAAGGTTGCCTCTTGAATTTGTGTCGACTATAAGTTCAAGAGAATCTGGTGTCAGGAACTGAGACCCAATCACACAAACTGGAGCTATGCCCTGTTAGGGGCTAGGTTGCGTCATCATCATCCCAAGAGAGATGGCGCCTGTGAATTCGAAAAACCAGTTAAAAAGATGCAGCTGATTCTGAGGTTAGGAAGAAGTACATCAATTCCAAAGTGGTGTTTTACGTGTTAAATTGTTTGACCAAGATTAGCCTAAGACTGACTTGTAAGCTAAGACATCCATATCTAAAGGATAAAGAGACACCCATCATTGACTGTGGGGTTAGGAAGTTTGTCAATTTGCATGTAGTATTTTAAGTGGAAGTTTTTTTACTTGTATTAAAATAAGCTTGAGTTGCAAGAAAAATCTACATCTAGAAGGTAACAAATACCAATTGGAAGTCACATTTATGTATTTAATTTGGGAGGCTAATGACAACTCTAAGGGGCGTTTGGTTCGTCGGAATCCGCCGGATTGAAATGGTCAATTCCGTTGACCAATTTCATTCCAACGTTTGGTTACCTATGGAATGGAATTGTGCGTTTGGTGCGCAGACAGGACAGGACATGACATTACAGTTATTCAGCGTTTGGTAAGACATGACAGAACCGGACAGAACTGGTTAAAATAACCAATTTACCCCCAGTAAGCTGTTTAGTGTTTTTTTCACTAAATAATCAATATAAATGTTAACAAATACTATTTAAAAATATCAAAAAATTTCCAAAATCAGTCTTAATTAAAAACTCACATTCATAAACCAAAAGATTTAAACATCATGTTCACCAACACAAAAGTTGAAATGCTTACCAAAAGACCTAAACACAAAAGATCAAATGTTTACAATTGTGTATCAAAAGACTTAAACACAAAAAATCAAATGTTTACCAACCAACATCACATATCTAACTTCTTTAAGATGGTCCTCACAAAATTTGGCTTCAAGGTAGCATTAATGATATTCCATAGGCATAGTTGAATCGAGTTATCGGCAAAATACATGCTAATAGCAATAACCTGATCATCATCAAAACCCATGTTGGTTAACTCATCGGGCATAGTTTGTAAACCCGGAGTACCAACAACCGGTACCAACTTACCTATATCCTCGGATAACGAATTCAACCCTTTCTCAATCAGCTTGATTGCATCTTCAGAAACACCGTTTATGCATTGATGCACATCATTCCAACCAAAACCACTTGTATTCAGCATGTCATAAGTTGCTGAATATTTATCTTTGAGCCGCTTCCTTTTGTTTTGGATGTGTTTTGATGTTATATTAAGGCCCGGAACTTTTCACACATCTTTAAAGCGATTTGCTCATATGTGCCGGTCCAAAAATACCCGTTATCACTCCTACCACTGGCGGCTACAATCTCTTGTAGAATGCTAATCAATACATCTTTTTCTTGGATACTCCAATTACGCCTATCCGCCATCTTAGAAATTCCAAAATTAACACTATGTCAATAGTAATAAAACAATATGTTACGTTAAACATTTTAAAATTCAACATTAGCAACAAAATAATCATTACGAAAACATTTTAAAATTCAACATTAGCAACAAAATAATATATTACGATAACATTTTAAAATTCAACATTAGCAACAAAATAATACATTATGATAACATTTTAAAATTCAACATTAAAAAAAATAATACAATACATTGAGTACATTCATCTACTTGACATCCACGACTCAAACATCTCTTGGGCGATGGCATCTCTCCATTGAGTCCACTCATTGCTCGATTCAACAACATCAATAGATTCAACATCATCGTTGGATTCCACTTGCTCTTCCCCTATAGGCATATCTTCTAGTGTGAGTGTCGTGTTTTCTTCCGAATCAAGAACCATGTACATCTTAACAAAATTATGTAGCAAAGCACATGCTATGACCATCCTTCTTTGAAGTTTAATTGGATAGAAAGAAGAACATCGTAATGTGGTCCAACGTTTCTTCAAAATACCAAAACACCTTTCTATGATATTTCTAGCTTGTGAGTGTTTCATGTTAAAATATTCTTCCTTATTTGAAGGTGTATGACCAATGTGTTCCCATTCTCGTAAATGATACCTAGTACCTTTATATGGTGCTAAAAATCTGTTACCATTGACATATCCTGCATCAGCCAAATAGTAATTACCCATTGGGACTTTTAAACCATTATTCCGTGTAACCGCATCTCGTAGTACTTTAGAATCGGTAGTTGAACCTTCCCAACCGGATAAAACATAGATGAATTTCATGTCCCGAGTGCATGCACCTAATACATTAATCGCAATATGACCCTTTCTTGTTCGGTATCGTGGTTTATCGGACTCAGGTATAATCACTTCAATGTATGTTCCATCTATTGCTCCTAGACAACCCTATAAAGAAAATAACTTGGTTTTAGCTAAATGGTAAAAAAAATTATATTACAAATAATGAGAGAAGTTAACAAGGATTACCTTAAACCATTTCCATCATATGTCGGTATAATCATCCTCTACCGGAGTTGGTTTGCTAAACAAAATGTCTTGCAAATCGCAACAAAGCACTTAAAACTCGATGAACATACCTACTAATTGTTTCCCCCGACCTATAAATCTAACTTGAAGACATCTATTTTTGGTGTGATGTGCTAAAATGTTTACAAATGTAGCAACTTGTTCTTCAATTGTCACGTTACCATCATCTAATAGTCCACCACGTGTTTTTAGCGTCACACAAAAGAGCAAATGCATTCCTATCCATTCACAACTCAATTACACATACAATGTCATTTTCACGTGTGATGCATTGCATTTCTATCGATCTAATTTGAAATCTAGTGAATGTTATTTGTCTTAAACTTTTCCTCCGATCATGTCTTTGTTCATATTCAATTAACCAATTCGGAAAATTGACCAAAAGTATGAGCAAGTCGATGTAAGCTTTCAACACTTTAACAACTACAATTAGATTGTTCGATCCATTCTACATTAAAAAAAAATGAGATGTAGTTACTATAAAATGTTCCAACTCATAATATAGTGGTATAACATAATCTGTGAATATAAACACTTTAAAACAGTAGCAAAAACCCTCTCTAAATTGAACTACCAAAACACTCACAAGCAAAACAGTAGCAAAAACCCTCTCTAAATTGCATCTCCTTTCAAGAAACAGAGGGCAAAATCGCATAAACAGTTGGTTCAAAATTCTTAATATAACCAAACATAGCAAACCCTAAATCGACAAGCAAACAGTTGATTGAAACAGTTGAAAAAGAAATCGGTTCAAACATAGCAAACCCTAAATCGATTCAAGCAAACAGTTGATGCAAACAGCCGATTTAGTTGATTCAAGCAAACAGTCAATTTAGGATTCAAGAAAACAGCCGATTTAATTGAAAAAGCAAACAGCTGATTTAGGGCAATCTTGTACCTGAGAGTATGGAGAGAGAGGATACTGTGTATGGAGCGATGGGGAAGAAAGAAGAAGGTAGAACTCGTTGAGATAAAGGGGAAGGTAGGTAGCGATGGAGGCGGACTGTGTATGGAGCGAATGGGAAGAAAGGAGAAGCTAGAACTCGTCGAGATGAAGGGGAAGGTAGAACTCGTCGCCGATTGATGAAGGAGAAGGTAGGGTGCGATGGAGACGCACTGTGTGTAGAGCGATGGGGAAGAGTTGTAAAAAAAAATCTTGTTCCACTTAGTTCTAGGGGATAAGGGTGAACACCCGTGTCCATGTTAGTTCTACTTAGTTCCACTTAAGACCACACCAAACATAGGACAATTGTGTTCTGTCATGTTCTATCCCACGCTGTCCAGTGCACCAAACACACCCTGAATTCCAAACATCTTCTCATTTGAGGATTTCACCATTCATTCATAAAAGTGATGGAATTGAAATCCATTACATCCAAAATTGTTGCTTCCAGTTTCTGCTTAACGATTTCTGCTTGCTTCCCGTTTCTGCTTATCGATTATCGTTGTTGCTTCCAGTTTCTGCTTATCTGATTCGTAACGATTTATCCGATGTCTGTTGTTTACCAAATCGATTTCTACTTAACGATTTCTCCGACACATGTCATTTACAAAATCGATTTTTGCTTAACGATTTCTCCTGCGAAGAAGACATTTCTTTTCCAAATCGATTTCTGATTATTGTCGTTTTACCAAATTGATTACTGATTCGAGAGATGCCTATCGTTTTGCCAGAAATAAAAGAAATAGATGAAGAAACCCTAAAAACAAGACTGCATCTTCATTTAAATATATATATATATATACTATATCATAAAACATTTGACAAAAAAACTCCAAAAAATCACTTTTTATGCATGAAGTACTGTTTATTGATGCATATTACTTAAAATTCAAGATTACAAGTAAACTGTGGTTAAGTACAAGTTAGTAAAGCTTCATGTTTGAATTCATGTAACTAACTTCAGATAAACATAATCAAATAGAAGATAAACATTTCATTTTAAATATAAAAAAAACTAAAATATAATTAGGATAATCGTTGAGTTCTAACAAAATACTGAATTATTATCTTTATAAAAAATTATATTATATAAACCAAAAATAAAAAAATGAACTAAAAAATACACAAAAAATGAGAAATTTTAAATAGTTAATTTGGTACTAATATCAATATATTTTTATTTTTTATAATATATTCATATTTATATTTTATTCAAGAATAAAAATATTGTCGCTTTTTCAAAACCACATAAAACCGTATTATAATATCGACTAAGAAAAAAAATGGAACACTAAAATCGAGATATATATCTTGCTGTATTGTACGAGTACCTTCTAGAAGGGTACTTGCACAATGCAGCGAGATATATCTCGATTTTAATGTTTTGTTT